CGCCGCCGCCGAATTACGTAAATATCGGCGCGGCGGCGTTCGGCGCCTTAGGAATTTTGTACAAAATTTTCATGATGTATGCACATTGAAATACATCGCTTGAAGGAACTAAATACTACTCGTATAAAAAACACTATTTTACACAAAGAAAATTACATTTTTAAAGGAGTTTTTTTTGCATAATTTGGGCAACTGAACATTTCCAAAAAAGTGTAACTCAGAAAAAACATAGGTAACGCGTTTTTCGATCGAAAGCGTTTATTTCAGTTAAATTAAATTCTCTCGCAATTTTTTTTCAAAACAACCACAATATTACTTTTTTGTATACTACAACAACAAGAAAGTTATAACCCATCAAAATATTTAACGCCAATATCTGAGAAAGCAGTTCTAACAGAAGCGCCCTTATTGCATCTAAATCCTTAATTATTGGAGATTAAACAAAGACAAGTTGATTTTCCTGTGTATTTTTTTGTTAATATTTTAAACACTTAATAAAAAGCAACCACTTTTTTTGCTAATTTTTACATTCGTAAGTTATTTCATTCTGGGGTCACGCAGACGTATACAAGTACTAGGTGGCTGTGTGAAAATTACGTTAGCATTCCTACGCAGGGCTGCCAACTTGGCTCAAACCGTGCCATTTTTGGCCCTGTTTTACTTCAAATGGCACTTAATTTTTCAATTTGGAACAAAGTGCCAAAATGACTCTTTTGAAAAATAGTAATATTTCAGTACATTTTTGTGAAATCCTTTGCGTGTACTTCTTTTTCTCAACTAAAAATTTCTAATTTCTATAGTGTATACAACTGGTTTATATTACTTTGGCATTGCACTTTTGTTTTAGATATGTGATTCTAATTTGAATGCTAAATGGGAAGGATTAAAAAGGATGGCACCTTTTTGTCACTTTTATTTTTCTATTTGGCACATTTTGGCACTTTTTTATCCTCAATATGGCACTTCATAGCTAAGTATAGTTGGAAGCCCTGTTCCTAAATGGTGGTCAAATCCCAGGAAGCGTTTGCTACCGCGCATCGCAGTGTCTTCTAAACAGGGTTAAAGTCCCACTTTTTCGTAAAAGTTACTATTATTTTTCATTACATTTAGTTCTCCTTAGAAAAATTTGGCGCTTAATATTTTAGTGGATATTTTAACCACCTATAAGCCATTTTTTAAACCGTGGGTCAGAAAGGCCCGTTCTGGTGGAAGTTGATCAAACCTTGTTTTCAAAATATAACCCGAAAAAAATCGAAACAACTCATTAATTTAACATTACGGATGATAAGATTATTGCAAAAATTTTTGATACCGACATAAATTACCCCAATAACTTAACTTTTTAAATTTTTTTATTTCTTTAAATTTAAGTAGTATATATGGATTTGTAGAGAACATGGAGATGTATTTATATACGTCGGACTTTCTTCTGTTTTCTCATCCATCAGTGGAAGACACTCAACATTTTAATTCAAGTAGAAAGTAACCTATTTTTAATTTAAAATTAATTAAATGAATTAGTTAAATACAATTACAATCTGAATTGGCATGGCCAATGCCTAACGCTGACGAGATCACATGATAAGATTAGTAGCTTCATGTCTCTTTGGAATCTACCTTATGGGCAGTAGCGCCGGCGTCACCGCCGCCGCCGATTTTCAAGTTGACCACGCCGCCGCCGCAAAGCCTGTCGGCGTAAACCTCTAATTCCTACAAGCAAGCATAGGTACACTGAGTAGATTATGTGATTATGTACTTTTTTTCTTTTTAAATACCAGACTAGTCCTCAATTAAAACATACAATATGTATTGTTTTTTATCTTTTGGTTTAGTCGTTATTTTAAATTGTTTTTAAATTTTAAGTTTTACCTAATTTTAAAATAAGAAAATGTTTAATTTTCACTCGAAATTAACGAATTCTTCTTTTAATATTCAGGGTGCTCGAAGCGTGTTGGCTTTTTTGCTCCGAAATCCACATTTAAATTATACAAAAAAAAAATAAGTATGTACATAAAAAATTTTACCAACTTTTTTCGTTTATGTTAATTTCGCGCAATGAAAAAAACGCTAAATAACACACCGAAGTTTTTATATTAAATAATACAACAGAGAAATTTTTTTCCATGTATAACCACCAACATATTCTCATTTTTGTGTAACATAACTAATACATTCTCAGTTTAAGCCTTTTCTCTTTTTGGCTAGCACTGATCCATGGACCAAAAATACAAGATCACGCCTTCTTCTTAGTAGCCCGTTATAATCGCATTTAGGAAAAAAGTTGGGCGACTTTGACATTTGCCGTTTATTTACATTTGTTCGCTGTTTACAAATGGTGGTGGCTTTTACTGCAATTTTCTTAATTTTCGCTTGTGACAACGTGTGCACACATAAAGTAAAGAATAATTTAACACAACGACATGATTTATAGAAGAATTTGCATAATAAAAATGATTATTCATGCGTTCAACAATTACGCGGTTTTTTTGTTCTCTTCGTTGTTTACTTCTTACAACAAAGATGGCGTCGAGATTTCGACAGCTAGAAAATAACTTTTTTCTTTCTTTCGGGAAGGCGTGATCTTGTGTCTTTCGTTCATGCACTGATCTAGATACACCACAGCGGCCGGCAAAGCTCAAGAGCAATATTAAAATAAAATGTTAAAAATTTTAATTTCACATAAAATTCGTGACTAGCATACCTAAGAACCTAATACATATGTGGTTTCATTTCATTTCAGATTTTCATCGGCAGTTGATTTGACAGCTTTCAACTGTCAACCCAAAAATTGTATGGCATAATCGGAGTTAGCATAACAAAAATACTACGATCCTGCATTTATAATCGTAATAGCCCTTTTAATTTTTCGCGTAAAACATGGCTTCTCAGATCACTGTGCGGCGTGCGTAAAAGCCAACTCAAAATGTATATGTACACACTTAAACTCCTGCGCAATTCCATTTAAAGGGCCTAACAAGACATCCGATCGCCGCGCAAATACTTTACCTCCTTTACTCTCATCGTTCGGGTCAAGTGTGAGTAAGCATAAACCAGTTTCTGCAAGCGTACGTAAACTACCGATCAATAGCAAGACGCGTAGAGTATTTACTTTGCCTTCCGCAACTACTGCGAGTAAAAGGTATTTGACAGTAGAGTACTCTACTGGTAGTACTTGAGTATTTTCGAAGAAAACATACATTTGTGGCAAGAATGCTAGAAGAATTTTCTGGATCGCGCATTTGTGGTATCTGAAAAAAAACTAAGGACAGGAATGTAGTGGAGCGATGAAGAGAGCGACGAGCAAAACGTACTTTCAACTAAAATGCTGATATACATACCTAAGTACATATGTATGTATGTGCATAGATACGTATGTGCATAGATACATACATATGTGCATAGATACGTATGTGCATAGATACATATATATGTAAGTGTCCGCATATATTTTTTCTCGTCACTTGTTCTGTCGCTTCACTGCAGCAAAACCAAGTTGTGGGGAAAACCCTGACGATATGCGTACAATTGAAACTATGGGTTCATATTAAATATATTTATGTATGCATGGACATATGTACATATGTTAAAATGTAGGTTCGATTTAAAAAAATCGGATGAAGTTTTTCTTTCGCCATTCATACACCTCTTATTTTAGTATTTATTAAAAAAACTCAATGAAATTCAAAAACTCTATCTTGCATTTGGGTTTACTCAATACCAATTTGAGCTGTCGCAGTGTTATCAAAAAAAAAAAAAGTTATCAATAGGTCGGTTCAGAAGGCGCAGCAGTTGAGCGCAACCGTTGCTAAACAAAAATCAGTGATCGTTATGCGTCTTTTGAACGACTTCATACGTTAGCTGTCAAATTCAACTCTCAAAGGTACACACCAACATGTTGTCTCAAATGATCAGAAAAATATTACGATCATCTAACACGCAACTATTCAGTTGATCAGAAGTACGCAACAACGCGTTCAGAAGGTGCAATCGCACCAGTTACTGAGCTGTTTCGCCTTCTGAACGTGCCAAATGAAAATTCGTTTCTCTTGAAATCAAGTTATATGGCTGCGTATGTATGTACATATGTATGTACATATTCCGAAATTTTTTTTATTTGTAAAGGCTCTCAAGAAAAACTAAAAATTCATATAAAATTACGCACAATAAATGGAAAATAAATTTTCTTCTATAAAAAATTTCTTAAATCAGTATGCAGCTCTTAAGAAAAAAATGCTCGTACATCTCGTCGCTACCATGTCCAACTATCGAATGTGAAAATCGGCACTTTTCAAAATTTTGATTTGCCACTAATAATTTTATTTCGTATAGCAGCATTGCTTAAGTTATTGTTTTTGACAACTTATTTGTTGGTTAATGACTGCAAATAGTTTTATAGAAAATTGGAGACGAGAATATACTTTCATAAAAATTTAAGTACATACATAGATTTAAAAAGCTGCTTGAATACAAAAGTTTTATGAAAATGTCACATTAAACAACTGTCTAAATCTACGTTATTTTGTATAAATAAGGCCGTAAACATTTCCTTACATCGTCAATTTCCATATTCTATTTTTACTCTTTCAATTTCACTGACCAGCGCTGCAAACGATATCAACTAGTAGGCTAACAACCAGAATTGAAATTTAATACGCAAGTACTTACCGTACTACAAGTATACAGAGAGTAGATTTGCTACTCCCTTTTGGCAGCAGCAAATATCTCTCGTACGCGATGAGGGAAAGTAGAGTACGTACTTTGGTGGAGTAATAGCAAGTACGTCAAGTATTTACTCTCTCAACGCCAAGTAGTGTATGTATGCGGAAAAAGAGTAACAATGTGTTGGGAGTAGAGTACAATGCAAGGACTACTTATTGAACGAAATGCGGCAAATACACTTGCGCTGGACTCTAGTACACACATGTCGTAAAAGATACATGTGTAGATTAGTTATATATACTAATAAAACATAAACAATAGTAGAAATATAGATAACTTACCACATGACCTTGAAGTTCTGCCTCTCTATGAGATCTGTGTATACCAAGTTGATCTTGAGTTGTTCGTAGGCCCGCGAGTTGATTATAATGGTGCAGCGGAGCATGGTGCAAAGAGGAAAGCGGTTGACCGTACGGGTCTGTCCCCAAATATTCTAATGCTCCATGATTCTGTAAATATGCAGGTACCTAATCAATATTAGATTATTTGAATGATTTCGATTTTAGTTTAACAAGGACAATAAATCAGTGCTCTTATGAACAGACATATCGCGTATTTACTTCAATAGTGTCATAATCCAAAAAATTCAAATATTAAGTTGAATATGCAGAAAGCACCGCTAAGTTTTATTCTATTTTTATTTCACAGCTGAATCGATTACTAGTGTCGCACTAGAACAAAATATGTATTCATTTTTACTAAGAAACTACATATATGTCAATTCAAAACCTTAAAGCCGTTTTTCTCGAGTTTTGCTTTTTTGAGTTATATTACGCTCAAATTGGCCCCATTTAACTTGTTAAATGAAAAAGAGTTTTTTGGAAAACACAATCGTCCACATTGAACATTTGGAGTTAACTTTGACGGTTGTTTGATTACCAATAAAATATTCGAAACAAAATATTCAAAATCAAGTTTTTGTGTTTCAAGTTGTTTTGTGCGAATGTCTGCTTCATGATATTAACGCATACGGATTACTTAGAGACTTCAAAATGTTTAGTTCGCATGCACTATTTATCTCGGCGTACGATGAGACCTTATGGGAAATAACTAATTACCGCCTTGGTCTCTTTTTTGGCGGGCAGACATGCATACAAATTTGATATTTTTTGATAATTTTTAATTTTTTATATTTTACAGAATATAAATTTTTTGAACGTTGGCGTGTCAAATGAAAGCTTTTGGGTCTTTCTGATTGGCTGGAGGAGTAAGCTTTCCGATACAATTCTGCGCTGAACTGGTTTTCAAACGAGTTAAGTGATTTAACTGGTTCAATTTTCCAACAACAATTGCATGCGATTTACCTTGTTTATGAACATGTTTTGTTCATTTAACTGGGTCAAGCCCATTTAACATGTTTGGATCGTCAATTTGAACGTAGTATTATGCAACTACTGAAGTAAATGAGCGATATGTAAATATGTACATATGTTTTATGAACTTCCTTTCCCGTATTATTAACAGTGCAGATTTTCGAGTTTTATGACAACGGACAATTTCGAGTTACCTCTATTAGAACAGTTTACTGTATATTTCAATAAAATTTCAATACTTTTTCAAAATAATGAACCCAAACGCCAACTAGTGCAAAATTTTCAAACGGGAATCTTACGGAATTCAGCGCAGAAAATCTATGAATATAAGTGCTGGCTATGAATGCAAGAAATTGCTATCATAGTCCAAATGAACACGAAAACGTTAATAACTTGATGCACTTATCTAGTAACAGCTTGGTTATTTTTCATCCGATTTTAAAAATCAAACGTGTTATAGACCTTTAAAATTATGTATAACTAGCAATTTTTAGCAAAAAAAAAAAACCGACTTCAACTCCCATATAAAAAATATATATATATATATATCTCATGATCCGCTAATCGGATCTTAACCAGATTAGTATGGGACCACCTCTGAGACACTACCTTTCCGATGCAAAAAGAATTATCGAAATCGGTTGACGTGGTCCAAAGCTATGCGGTAACATACATAAAAAAAAAAAAAAAAAATATTCCGACGAACTGATAACCTCCTCCTTTTTTGGAAGTCGGTTAACAAAATACATACATATTGTTAGACCTAGCTTGTTGGGAGTTTTTATCGAATAAAATTTAAAAAAGTTGCCAAGTATTTATGTAGCATTTGTCTAAGAGGACAGTTATTTTCGAACAAAGTGGTACCTCACCTAATACAATTGCATGAAAATTGGCCACGTTAAGCAATTTATGTAGAAATACGGCCAAGTAGTTTTTGAGATACACATACATTAGGAATGCCAATCCCAGGATTCCGGTATCCCGGGATCCTGGTGTTTTTGGGGTCCCAAAAATACCGGGATTTGCTTGCATTAATCCCGGGATCCCGAAAAATTTAAAATACCGAATTGATAGTAAGAACTTGTTTATGTATTTTGAAGTATTTTGTTTTGTAAAATGCGGTCTTGACTGCAATTAGCAAAAAGCTTGAAATTGTACTTTTAAATTGCAGCCTGGCCTTTTTTGAAGGAGATTTAAATGAATGTACTCATAGCGTCGCTAATGTTTACGAAACAGAGAGTTTTAAGAAAAATGTACATAGTTTCTTAAATCGATCTACGCAAATTGAAAAAGTTACAATTTATCCGACGTGCTAGTAACAGAAGTTCAAATATTTTGTAGTGGAGGAAAAAATGGTCATTAACTTCAAATGGCTTATGACTACCTTTTGACAGTTGAGCCTAAAAGTGTTGAGGCCGAAAGATTTTTTTCATTAGAATTTTAAATGTAATAATAAAAACACCGGCACAAAAAAAAGGGTGTGTGCTTCTAACCTGAGCTACCTACCGACATGTATTTGGACCCGGTGAATCCAAATCTGAGGTCCGATTGACTGGTTCACCCTCAAAATTTCGAGTTAATTGCGAAAAAATTCGCCATTTCTGTATGGAGTAGAATAAACATGTTTAGAGAATTTATTTTTGTATATTTTTGTTTATTTATTTTTTATTAATCATTACTTTCAAAAGTACCTGGTATTTAGATTGTTACTGGTGATTTATGCGTTCCTCAATCATATGTTTTTTTAAATACAATTTAAGAAAGGTATTACTTTTAGATTTGTGTGATTTAATAAATATGATTTAAAAGTTTATCGTAAATTTTAAATATGTAGTTTTATTTCATGGTATGTTTAAATGCTTTCAGATATTGAATTTGTACTCATATTCATAAAGCTATGAATTCCGGGATATTTTGGCATCGCTAACATACATGTGTGTAATGAAAAACTGTGTGCTGTCGCTGTGAAAGTTCATTTAGTACTAAATTCAAGTTAAATAATTACAATTCAACTAGGTGTATGATTAAGTTAAATGATGTAATGAAAAATATAACAGTGCTTATATTAAGAGAAAAAAGGAAAGAGAGAACATACGAAAATTCGAAATGCTTACTAAAATATATATTCGTATTAAGACATATTTTCAACATATTTCGCCCGCGCCATGGAACTGCCAACTTCCAACGGCACCAGTAGTTGTATTGGTCGCTTTAAAATGCTGTTGTTAGGTAAACGGACATCACATGAACGCACTCGCCCTTATAGGCCTGGGTAAACTGTTTTAACTATAGCCATTTCCCACAATAATCGTGATTTCAGCTCTTCATGTAATAAAACTATAGGTTTGTTCGTCGAGCTAAAAATTTGTACGAATTATCATGATTTCTGTCCGAACTTCGTTCGTGCAGACCAACAAATTATCCATCACTCAAAAACAGGTAACCTAATATTCACGCACGCCGCTAATTTGTTGTCAAAAATTTCTCATGCACATGCAACTTGTATGGGACCAACCGAAATTGAACGGCGTGCGTATGAAGCTAACTCAATTTCCAATTTTTATTCTACGTGACATTTTGATTTGACGTTTCGCTGAATAAAATCAAATGCAAACGCACGCAAGCCAATTTCGAGTGACGCAAACAAAACAAATTCGACGGCATGCGTACCAAAACGGAAGCCGCGAATTTAGGTTAGCCTGAAACTGAGGCGCAAGAGGGACAGTTCTCTTGGAGAGAAGTTGCAAATTCTTGCTGGAAAAATTTTACCCAGCAAAAATTTGCAATCACGAAAAACATATGATTGAGGCACATGGTTGCATTTTTGTCGACGATATTTTGAATAAATTAGTTCGTTAAATTAAGAAGTGCATGAAGATGAGCGATTTTTTATAAAACAAGTGATTTTTAGCAAAAAAAAAAAACGGACTTCAACTCTCATAAAAAAAAACAAATATATATATATATCTCATGATCCGCTGATCGGATCTTAACCAGATTAGTATGGGACCACCTCTGAGACACTACCTTTCCGATGCAAAAATAATTATCGAAATCGGTTGACGTGGTCCAAAGTTATGCGGTAACATACATAAAAAAAAAAAAAAAAAAATATTCCGACGAACTGATAACCTCCTCCTTTTTTGGAAGTCGGTTAAAAAGGAAGAACATACATGTTGATATAATTAATTTAGGTAATTGCAATGATTTGAACTGTACCCTACTGAAAACAAAAATTTATTCGCAATCGGAATGCAATTGCAACCAGAGTCGATTTAAGAAACCCGACGGCTAGGACCATAAAGAAATGGAAATGTATGTTAAAGAAAGTCAAAACAACATGTGATTTGAGATGACAAGCCTTTTTGCCACCTGATAGACACTAAGCGAAGAGCAACTTATTCCTTGACTTCAATATGAACAGTAAACTTTATTTTTAAAAACAGTAATTCATATGTCTCTTAAACGTACTTACATTTGTCATAAATATATGCATATTTGCTAACGTTTCTTATTTTGCCGCAGATCGGTTCACCTTGTAGGTATATAAATCCATATTGCTACATACGCACATAGAACATAAGAATACATATGCACATATGCACATACATGCCAGAACATAGCAATGAGGGACCAGCAGCAACGAATGGGCTGATAAGAAAGATAACAAAGAGCTGACCTAGGGGATATCCTTAACCCTTGGGTGAACATCATGGCATGCGATTTAGTAAATCGTAACAACATGTTTATACTGTTGTTTGTCCATCTGGAAGAATTTTAAAAATTCTACAAAAATTTATTATGTTTGAAATGCAACCGTGGACACCAGCTGGCAGGGAAAGTTGCAAATTTGTGTTCGTGTAGAAATGTTCAAGTTTCTCAACATGACAGAGAATTTGGGAGAATTTTTTCTTACTCTCTGATATTTTGAGTGTTGGATAATTCTTGCTGGATTTTCGACGAACAAACCCTATATCGCCCACTTTGATGCTTCTTCTTAAACCGCCCTTGTTGTGGTGTATTGATCGTAGTTGACCTATGTACGTACTCCCTATTAGTGTTACCGCTGAAAATTTTTCGAAAGTCGAAAAAATGGTACAGCTAAAAAAAAGGGTCTTCAAGTCATTCAAACCGTTTAAACCAGTGATTCCCAA